CTTGTTATCGATTATGATTTGTTTACATTCAACTGTATTATTATAAATGATTTAAGGTTTACCACTTGAAATCAGAACACTTGATAAAGATTCAGCAAAAGTGTTCACTCATTTACTAGAGGAAGAAAGTTACCCTCATTTCGAATCACGAGTAATTTTAGCGGGCGAACAAGGGACTGGCAAAACAACTATTGCTCGATATCTGGTTGGCAAGGGACCAACAAAAGTGAGAAAATCAACCGATGGAATTGGTCTATATACAGGTTTGTCGTATATAAACAGAGAAACAGATGAATGGTTGGAAGGCAAACAAGGTATATGATTATGTTGATTAAATTTATTTCTGCTTAATTAACGGATTGGTTTATATGTTATGAAATTAGTTATTCAATTTCACAAACAGAGCATGTGGATGATGGTGTATCTTCTCTAATTAAGAGTAATGACGTAAGTTTTCAATAATTAAAACAATGTCACAATATATGTATTTGAGATAAAGTACAATCCTTTGGTTTGTAAAGTCAAAATATACAAGATAGGATATGCTATAAGAGTAATAGCTGTATCCTTTCAATTCATTGTAATACACCACTCCAAGGAGGTGGTTTATACGCCTTCTCTCTGTATGCCACTTCGTTGGATCGTGTGTTCATATGTCTATTACACATTGTTGTCGTTTTTTACTCAGCAACGAACGTAATAACGTAACATGCCAATGATATTAGTGGATATCAATGTGTGAGTAATAAATTGATGTAACTTGTTTGTACTGATGTATGCAATGTGAAACAAAGTGAAACTCTACGTATGGAACAGGATCTGTTTACCCTTCCGGAGCAACTGAAATCACCCCCAGTTTTTGTTTGGTTCATGTTGCTCGATATTTAGTTTTCTATTATGTGTTTCGTGTACTGTTGTTTATCTGTTTGTCTCTTTCTTTTCAGCCATGGCGTTGTCAGTGCATTTTCGACTTATGAGTTTGAATGTCCCTTTGGTATCTTTTGCCTCTCTGAAGATATTGCAGGATATCACCAAGTTTTGTGGTTACAATTATACATATAATTCGAATGTTCACTGTGCATTGCATATACCAAACAACTACATATCTGAAAATAAAATAATCCCGATATACTCTTGATGACACATACTAGACATCAAATATTCACCATGAATTATTCAGCATCAAGATAACTGTAAACATCTAAAGACCTTTATTTGAGCACAGGAAAAATGAGAATAATTGACACAGAAATCAAATTACAATTATTATTTTTGTTGACAAATTGTCAACCTATCAATCGCACATAATATCAAAATTTGGTATATACATGTAGTGGTGGATAAAACATTCCTTAAGAGACAGAACCATTACGATAAGACTACAGATCACCATGCCTATTTGTATACGTTTCATCTTTGTCGTGTACTGCAATTAATGTCCATTTGAGAATAACCTTTTGATGTTGTTAGGTGCATGCAAAATTCGAGTTCAAGGCCGCTGAATTATTCATTGAAGTAATTGTTCATGATGATAGTATTTGTATTGCATCATTGCAGTAACTTCAGCTCTTATAAAATTAATGGATGTTAGTTGTCCTCGCATTTTGAACAGCTATGTCTGACTTGTTTTATGAGTCGCGATGAGTGTTTTATGTATCAAAGTATAAGCTTTATTAGGCCGTTGGTTTTTTTCAATCGAATTGTTTCATATTTTCATGTTGGGGCCTTTTTTCCATTCGTTTGATGTTTTTGAGCTTTTGATTTTGCCATTTGATTAGGGATTTTTCGTTTTGAATTTTTCTTTGAGTTCGGTATTTTTGTTATTTTAATTTTATAGCCGTTTATAAGGTATGGGTTTTTCAAATTGTTTAAGGCCACAGGGTTGCCTACAATAGCTTACTTCCAATTCATTTGAGCTTTGGTGCACATTGGCAATCATACTACATCTCCTTATTTTCAATTCATATCGTAGGTGCCTTTTACCGACAACGGGTCGATACCACCGCTAGCGGGCGTTTTGTCCTGTCATGTATCACCAGACAAGTGGTACACACTCTGATGCGTTTATTTGATATATTTGATTCTGTAATTTGTGTTTATAAAGGAAATAAACATCTAAGACACTTAGGTTATGTTTACCCCAAACAATGCATGGCCTTCAAATAAATCTTTTAGGCTTGCCTGCTGCTTAATTGATTTGCTTGTCGTACTGTGTCTTATTGAGGAAAAATGCGTATATATGGGTTGGTTCGTCCTCAGAAGTATTACTAGCCAAGTAATTGCTATTCTAGTTCTGACTTTTGATATTATAAATGCGGTAATTTAAAACCAATAATAATTTCTAAATCCTTAAATGCTAAAATGATATAAGAAGGCTAAGGTTTTTTAAATCAAAATCGTATATGATCTTAACAGAAATTGAAATTACCCCGTAGAAACATGTTTGTAGAGAGGATCGGCTAAGATCACTTCTTTGCCTATTTGACATCGAAAATCTAATACTGTTATAAATATACGAAATACCTTCATTCAGAGGTTCATAATATGCTGTTCAGTCAGATTACAGTATTAATTTTGTTAATTGTGTTAATCTACAGCCTGTTTCATTTGATGCCAAACTCCAACCCTGCATCCCTAGAATTACACTGTAACTCTTAATGTCTTATATAGTCTTATAGTCTATATGCACAGGATGTTTTTGTTTATACACAGTTTTGATTTAGAAGAAAAACCGACATGGTTAGAAAATACAAATAATAACACCATTACAAACACAATTCCATTTGAATGTTATTGTCATGGTTAGAAAAGACATAAAAAAGCACCATAACAAACTCAATCCCAATCTTATACTCTTGTACATGTCTACAATAAAACAAATTTATTCTCAGAAATTTACCTGTGATAATATAAACGTCACAAAAAATACGTCACGTCTTGTGCTATTGATACATTCGTGTGACGCACAGTTTATAATTCGATTGTGGTGTCCGGGTGTACTGTCGTAAATTCATGGGAGGTGTCCGTTATTATTCTGTGGTTTACATGTTGTAATGTACTATTATAGTATGTAGTTATGTATTTCTCTGTCCTGAGTGTTCTTGCGTTAATTTGTATTGTATTCCTGTCACGTAATTTTGTCATTGTAGCGGTATTTTAAACATTGCCAGGATAGGCGGGAGGTTTGGCTAGCCATAAAACCAGGTTCAACTCACCATTTTTTTCTAAAAATGTCCTGTACCAAGTCAGGAATATGGCAGTTGTGATCAGATAGTCCGTTTCTATGTATGTTGGCGTTTGTTTTTTATAGTGTTCCCCTCTTGTAGTTGATGTGTTTCCCTCGGTTTTGGTTTGTGACCCAGATTTATTTCGCTTAATCGATTTATGACTATTGAACAGCGGTATACTACTGTTGCCTTTATTTAATAAACATGTTATCTTAAGCACCTTTTGGTTTGTAAAAAAATGTTAAATTCATTCTTAATTACTAAAATATTGCCTTTATCAATCCTTCAATTCTAAAAAATTACTTGAAGTCGCGTTAGGAAATAACTGGGAACATCGATAAAAAAATTGCAAAACAGTCGAACTGAACAATTTCTCTTAATGACTTATCGCCTACTGAACGAATGCTGTCCTCTAGGACAAAATGTTCATCGACTGCTGATGTCCCAAAACACAACAAAAGAAAAATATACGAATCTTTTTTCAAAAGCAGTCACGTTCACAACAATACATCTAATAATTCAATATTCTACAGTTGATATTATATTGACGTTAATTCAACAACTTAAAATTCGTTGAAAAAACAAAACAAATGTTACGGATGGATTTAATTTTCTATCCATTTGTCGATCATATAGTACTAAAATAACTGGTACAAAATCATCAAAGGTCTATCATCTGTTTCACTGCATGCGCTCATTCCTTCTACTTTCTATTTCCAGATTTCTCTTTAGCAGAATTGACCATCAGCAGGTCGTTAAGACAGAAACCATCTGATATTCCTACTAGCAGTCTTTCAACAGGACAATCCACTGATTTAAGCAAACACTGCAATGAAAGTCTGACGTCAGGTCAAATTGTCCGATCTAACGAGCAACACGTAGTTTAGGGAGAGAAATAAAATGCAAGGTGTTCCAGTCGAATCAGAAAAGGATAATAGCAAATCAAGAGAACAAGGTGTTTGGAATAATCCAACGCAAAGTAAAGCAGACGACAGAAGAATCACTAATGTTCTTCTAGATCTACCTAACCAACAAGGTGATCCAAATGACGGAAGACCAGTATCAAACGTCCATCTTAGTCCAGTTAAAATAGAGACCATCCTCCTGACGAAATACCAGTGCAAAATGTACATCTTGATTTACAAAAGCAACAGGACCATCCTTTAGACCAAAAAACAGTACTGAATGTCCCTCTTGATTTAGATAAAACAGGATGTGATTCCAAATACGAAAGAAAAGTGTCATATGTTCCTTTTGATCTACACAAACAACAAGGTGATCAGAAAATGATTGTTAAAAATGTGCTTCTGGATCTAACAAAACAACCAGATTATCCGCTGGACAAAACTTCTGGGCCAAAAGTCCTTCTCGACATAGATAAACAACAAGTGCGTCCTTTACACGAAAGACCAATACCAAATGTTCAATTTGATTCAGATACACAATCGAGGAAATTTCAAAATAAACCGTTCTTTTTACAAGAACAAAAAAGAGATTATCACAATTACAGGGCAATGCAAAATATCGTTTTTCCTGAGAATAATCAAAACCAGGTTTTGCAAGACGACGTTCCATAACACAGAGATCCATATAACACCAGGACAATGACAAGTAATCCATTAATTTCAAGTGATCAACCTAATTATTTCCATGAATACATCCAATGCAAACAATGCGAAGACGTCATTAATGATATACCGATGCCTGTTCACCAAACTTATGTAAATACTACAACAGAAAATGAATCACAAGAACATAGGCCAAAAACAAAAAAAGGATCGCCTTTGGTTCTAAGTGGTACAAAGCATACCAGTTTTCCAGAAGATTTGTCTATGCACGCTTCCAAAGAACAAATTAAAACATTGACTCAATTATCTGAAGTAGAGCAAGCAGCATCTGGTTTGAAACATTCTGTAGAAACTGTTTCTAATCCTGGAATAATAACAAAACTTAAAAGATTCTTCGGAGTTTCCAAAGAAGTGAAAAAGATAAAGGTTTCAATTACAGAAGAACACATTTTAAAGCAATCATTAAGAGTAGGAAAGAAAAAGTTAAATCAAAGACATATAGCTCCCGTAATAATATGGGACTTTGGAGGTCAAGATATCTTTTACTCCACGCACCAAAGTTTCCTGTCCTACCGAGCCATCTATTTGATTGTACTGGATGGTAGTAGGACCCTTGATGAGCCATGTCAATTTGAGCATTATTTACCAGGGAAAAGTGGACCGAAAACTGCAAGAGGTATAATAGTCTTTAGTTTTCTATGTTGTGGTGTGTATACTGTTGTTTGTCTGTTGGTATATTTTTTTCTAAGCCATGGCGTTGTCAGTTTATTTTCGACATATCAATTTCAATGATCCTTTGGTATCTTTTGCCTCTCTTGTATGATAAGTTTTCAAAACGTACTAAAATTGTATATGAATAATATTTTCGTAAAGATACAAAAACTAGGAAGAGTTTACGTCATGTACGTCTTTTATATGTTTACTACTACACATTAAAAATAATCATAAATTTCAAACGAACTAGACATCAATGAGATGGGAGCAATCTCTATGGGCCCCGCTGTAAATAACGTGTGGTACGACATTGGGTTGTCAATCGAAACCAAATTTTTTTACCTTTGACCAAGGAAGTTGTACATACATTATGACACACCCTCTGGTGTTGGTTAATATACATGTCAATTATAAAGTATGAAATCATAACGGTTCTCAAGATGTAGAGCGGACATGATCTGTACCATATGACATGGGGTTGTCAACTGAAACCAAAGATGTTGACCTTGACCTTTGACCCAGAAAGTTGTACATACATTATGACACACCCTCTGGTGTTGGATAATATACATGTCAAGTATAAACTTTGAATTCAAAATGGTTCTCTAGATAAAGAGCGGACACAATTTGTTACGGACGGATGGACGGACAGACTGTTCACTAAAGGATGACCCGCCACTAGGCGGGGCCCTAACTAATCACAGTGCAAATTTTGGAAGTCATTCCAATATAGTATCAACCAAAAAAGGAACTTGTGTCTTCAGATCGCACGTGGTCGCTATCTATTTATATGTATATGTTAATGTTTATATTGGTTATATGACCGTCGGCAGTCTTCGGAGGTTAATCTCAATGATTAATTAGATGACGACTAGTAAAAAATACACACAAAATAATGATACATATTATCGAGTCCACGTAATCCTAATTGTTTATTTTAGACTTTTTGTAATTCGGATATACGTTTAAGTATGTTATAAATCAATAACGATCATTTGAGTCAAATTAATTCCCCTTTAACATTAATGTATTCATTATTATTCGTTGGATACTTAACTTTATTGATTTCATGGGTACAGGAATTAAATGTTCAAATAATTTCAAATGTTCTATTACAAGTTACATGAGTTGCTTATAACCCCCTTCGAACCCATAGGCGTTAAGTAAAATCAGTAGGGGTCATTTTGAACCGTTTAATGAATTTAACGCACACGGGACTTTTTCTTGCCAAGTTTTGTATAAAAATATCATTAATAGATGACTTAATCATTAATAGCAGACTATACTTAGTCATGAACCCCCTATGAAATCTACTGACCCCCATACGAATCTACAGAGGTTCACCGCGTGACGGCGTTAAACCAATTACAACGTCACTAATTTACCCGAGGTGCAATAAAAGGTTGTATGCAGATTAAAGCAAAACAAAGAATCAAATATCAACGCAACTACAAGGTTTTTTGAAACAAAGTCAATTGGTACCAACCGAAAAAAAAAATGAATCCACAGTACCAAACAACATACTGTTAGATGATTGCCAATAACATAACTATAAATTGGGGACCATGATACAGCCTGTTAAAGCTTAGTATCCGGAATAGGTTTTGTTAATTGTTGAAGACCGTCAGGTAATCTCTAGTTTGTTACTTCCACATCATTTGTATTATGATACATACATTTGTAGTTGTCTCATTGGCAATTATACCACATCCGCTTATTACTTTGTGTATATCATGTTTATAAGAATATGTGTAAATGCAAGTGACTCTCAAGTGACAATGCAAAAATTATCAAACTATATTTAAATATAAATGCATAGATTCATTTTTGAGACATTGAAGAAATTATAGGATTTATTGGCGATTTGATTTTAACATCACCTGAACAGTCTAAACCTGAAGACGATACATTTTCAGATATTTTCGTGTTGTACATTCAGTAAAAGAGAGGCAGATGATACCGAACACCACCCCCCCCCCCCTACCCCCCTTAAAAGTAAAACAACAAAATTACTGAATTCCAAGGAAAATTCAAAACGGAAAAGACCCTTAATAATTGGCAAAATCAAAAGCTCAAACACATCAAACGAATGGAAAACAACTGTCATATTCCTAAATTAGTTCTTTGTCAGTTACCTTTAACATATCTTCGTAGAACAAGAAGAGTTGAAAATGCAGGCATCATCAATAAGAAGGCAAAGACAAAAGACAAACAATGTATGTTTGGTTCGTGTGACTAAACGTTTGCCTTCCCTTTGAGTATTTTTGGAACAATACATTGCGTATATTGTTTGTGTTGTTATTATTATTCTATATTGAAACGGTGTTGTATCTCGATCTTGAACTAATGTTTATTTAACGTGAAGAGCCAGTTGTAGTTGACCATATATATAATGTGTTATTATGATTGGTAAAGTGTAATTTTTGGGAGCTGCGAAATAATTGGAACTGAGCAATATTAACCAAAAAATGAAAATATCTATATTTCAAAATAGTGTTCACCTTTTCCCTCGATTATTATATACTTCATTGTAAACAGATTACCTGCGATTCTGGATAAATACAATTGTGACCTACTGCAAAGGGAGCCAGCATGGATTTCCCAAGATTATGATTGTTTTTACACATAAAGACAAGCTGAAGCCTGTGAGTACACACATCATTAGTTTATGCACTAAATGAATACCAGATATGGTTTATATCTTACTGATGTATTTCCTTGTCTCTGTCTGTAAGATTATATTCATTGTCATTGTCTTTTGGTTAACTGTTACGTAAAAATGTGTTAACTATGAACAAAGAGGTAATATTGCTACTTTCTGGATATTTAAAATATGCATGTTTTATACCTTTTACTGACATTATTATAAAAATGTCAACGTAAAGGAATTAACGGTACCAATTTTTCTGAATCAGATGCGCATTTTGACAATAAAATGTCTCTTCAGTGAAGCTAGAGTTCAACATATTTGAAAATACAAAGCTTATTTAAACAAGGAAGCGCGTATCAACCAAAAAAGACCCAAACATATAGCCAAAGTCTGGTAAGGAATGAAGATTGTTTTTCAAACAATTGCATGCAACATTAAGATTTAACCTCAAATTGAAATTAAAACGTGTTTAATATGTCACATTTTTAGAGTGAAGTTGAAAAAACAAAAGAACAACTGTTTGGAGATGTAAAGAGCATATTTCATGAATCCCCACTGATGTCACATTTGGTTATTGAAGACAAAATATTTGTAAATGCTAGAAACAAAAATGATCCAGAAATGGCAAAGATCAGGAGAGGTATTATCCGAGAGTCAAAGCTCCAACCAACATGGGGACAAAACTTTCCAAAATGCTTTATCCCCCTTGAATTTGAATTCGAGAATCTTATCCGAGAGAATATGAATGTAATTACATTTGACGATTTGAGAAAAATAAACACTCAGCATCCTATAAGACCATTATCAGATGCTGAACTCAAGGTTTTCCTGAAATTTCAGCATGCTATTGGAAAAATTCTATACTTTGATGAACCGGGATTGGATACACATTTAACACTACTGCCAACATATCTCATTGATGCTTTCAAATCAATAATCACCGATAAAAGATTCTGTAAAGGAGAAAAACAAAGAGAGCATTTATGGAATCTGATGAGCCAGAAAGGGGTCATCTCCAAGAGCGCAATAGAGAAACTTTGGAGAAATTAGAATTATCGGAGATTTGAACAACACAAAGACTACTTAGTAGCAGTGATGACCCACCTTGATATTTTAGTAGAACCAAAGAGATATGACCTCGAGCGCAATCGAATACCGACCGACTTTTACTTCGTTGCTAGCATGGTCCAGGCTAAGGATGACACTGGTTACCTTCAGTCTCCATTCCTCACTGACAGAAACATTGCCATAGCATTTAGTTCTAATTCTGCTATAATACCACCAGCTTTGTCATTCAGGTTCATCAATCACTGCCTCAGTATTTTTGATGTGAAGAAATACGGCGATAGAAAGGACGACATGCTGTTCCATAGATCTGCAATATTTACAATTGATCCATCTTTAGAAATTCATATTCTCTGTGAAGATGAACGAATTTTTGTCCGTCTTGTTCATGCTAAGAATAATGTTTTGATATTGAAAGACCTTGCTTCAAGTATCTGCGATTGTCTGAAATCAGCCCTGCAGAACATAAGTCAGCTTTATATCAAAACCAGCAGTGATAACTCTGAACTAAGCGTAGGGACTTTTGAAATGAACTTAGGCTGTAGTTTTGCAAAAGATCCATGCCTGCTATCCATTGGAGAATTCAACAAAAACGATAGTATCTGGGTATGTCCCGGACACAAAGTGGACCATGAAAAATTTGTGATGTGCTCTTGGATAACAGAAAAGGTAATTTAACATTAGATAAGAACATTTGTTTTCAAAATACAACTTTGTGCATTCTGATCCTTTTTTAAACATGTTAAACTTTATATTTCAATGGCATACATATGTTACTGTAGATTTATCATTATTCTTGGATTCCATTTTTCGTGGAATTCGCGGTTGTAAGTAAACAAAGAATTTAAAATGTTCTACGTGTCATTCTTTTGCAAATGAAAGACAATCTTGATAGGACACATCAGTGACGTTCGACACAAAACAGTTTGAAAATCAACTAAAATGCAACGCAGTAGAGCATGAAAGGCCAATAGTTCTTCACATCCTTGTCGTTTTACCTTGGTAGATTGTTGTCTCATTTTTTTTTTATTATTGAGAAAGACACGCTTACATGATTTACTTGGTCAAGCCATTACAGAAACCGTTTACACAACATGTACCTGGTGATATATTCCACTGGTTCAATATACTGTTGACTCGTTGAGTTTCATGTGTATCATTTTTTGTAGATTGTGGGAAAAATGTATGTTTGTTGATATTTGATTTTGAGGTTTTTCAAAAGTTTATATTCATTCTTATAGAAAATAAATAACCATTGAACATTTAGATTCATTGGTCACCGATACCACCGAAATCCTGAAAATTGATATTGAACAAAAATGTGAATCCACAGTAATGCGTTTGATGTTAGAATCGTTTTACATTGTGTTTAGCCCTGAAACCTGGTGTTTCATGTAATTTTGCAATCACTAACGGGCGATAGAAACAAAATAGCATTTATTTACCATACTCATCTTGTCAACACATATGGTTTAATTCCACTTTACTTCATACAAATCCAACTTTTTTTTATCCTATATTAGTTTCTGTGTTTATTGGCTGTTATTTATTCAGCTTGCTTTTCTTTTCAAGCATTCGTAATGAAAACTACTCAGAAAGCATTGTGTGTTGATGGACATCGTATCATTCATGTGTTTTCTTACATTTTTGTAAGTTGGGTCACTGCCGCTAATGATTGGCTATCCGTCAATGATTCACCAAGTAACCAATCTTGTTTTTATAATTGAATGATTGATATGATACAATTTGTCGGTAAAACAGACCGAATAAAGATAACAAATGGATACATTACTTTGGTCTTGTTTAATGTGAGTGTCACTGATGAGACGAAACTCGCCTAATAAATCATCATGTTATGAACATGGAATATTTCATGAGTCTTATGCTGAAAAAAAACTGAAAATTTAGCAGCAGACATCCTACAAAAACGAGTTTTTCATTAATGGTACCAACTTTACTGCATCAGTTGCGCATTCTCATAAATAATATTTCTTCATTTATGCCTGAGGCTACAATATTTTAAACCTTCTGTATACTTTGAAGGGCTGAATCAGAGCTTTACATGACGGTGATATATCTCGCAACTTGAAATGATTCTTAAAAACAAAGACAGCAACTTTTTTGATAAAACAATATTAGATATTCCCTTCCAGTACCGAAGTACTCGCTCACTGGCGGTTATTACCCTTATTGACTTACGGTCAACCCGAAAAGGTATCGACCCAGTGGTATTTATTACATTAACAGTATCAATTTTACTACAAACGATGCGCATTGCGACAGTCCATCAGATCTTTCATACATTCATATTGATTTTAACTATTGGAAACTGTCGATGGCACACAATGTCGGAAAAAGATATATTACATCAAGACGAATGTGAGAAGCATGTCATCCCACAAATCATTTTAGGCGGTGTAAGTTGACCCCTTTCCGAAACAATCAAGTAACACAATGTATTACGAAACTTGTAAGATTGATGACTTATCTGATATATTTGGTGAATATTTAATATTTAGAATTTTTTTTTAAATCTTTTTCAGTATTTTGTACAACAAAAAATATGAATTACATTTGTTTTTTAGGAAATAATGAAGAAGTGTGAAATTACCTGTCCAGGTAGGAATGTATTATTTATCAGGCATTCACTCAAAAGTGCATTGCAACTAGTTGTCCAGACGTGTGAAACTAATAATAAAAAATAATTCCAATAAATAGCTGACTTTATTGCTTTGATTGTCTTAGTCCCTTCCCTGATTCCAATAAATATAGTATAACATATAATAATGTATCATTGAGTCAATTTCCAGAGAAGAGGAAGACTTTAGTTTCACACAGCTAAACGGTTTGCATTATAAAGAATATTTTGAGGTTTAATTGTTCAAACAGGCTGGCATATTTCCTTCACATACACAGTGAAAAAAGAAAAAACAGACAAACAGAGATTCGAACTAATATTTTATGAATTCATCTACTCTGCATTGACACATATCCTCGTAATTAACAATTTCTATAAGATAAAATATACCTGATTATTGAAAGGAAATCAGTATAAAAGAAGCGGAAGATACCAAAACGACTATCAAACTCACAAGACAAAGACAAACTGGCAAAACACGAACATCGACAAAAAAACAAGCAGTTTACAAAACACTACATAGACATACAAAAAATGTAAAACAAAAATACCGAACTTTAAGGTAAATTCAAAAAGGGAACAGTCTAAAATAACTGACAACATCAAATGTTCTCAACCAACTTAACTGACTTGGTACAGACATTTTCAGAAGAAAAATGGGGCTTTAAACCTAGTTTCATATGCAACGTGTATGATAATTGTTTATAGTTCCGTTGACACAATTGGGTAAGCAACCCCAACAGACATAATACGTTAATATGACAATAATTGGGATCCATTAGCAAAAACTGTGTAAACCTATATCACAGACATGCAAACACATCTGCTTATCAAATTCAAAAAAACAAATAAATAAATCTAGCAAAGCTGCCAACATAAAGGTTGATGTACTTGATACTTTGACAATGACAAAAATGTGTTTGTAGTTGATATTATATTGACAAAGACGCCGATAAAAAGTAAAATAACAAAAATACAGAACTCCGACGAAAATTCTAAACGAAAAGTCCCTAAGCAAACGGCAAAACAGTTTTTGTAGTTGATTAAACATACCGTACAATATACACTCTTCTAATAAAGTACACAATAAGTGAAATATAAATACAAGGGTAAACAGAATAGAAACAACACTGCAAAAACCTCTTGTGTCCGAATCCCACCTCATGACCAACTCCTGTTGCTCCGAAAGGGGAAGCAGATCCTGCCCCACATGTAGCACCCGTCGTGTTGCTCGTGTTAATACAAACATGTGGATAAATCTAGTTTAGTAGGTCACATTTGAGGAAGAGAGGATGGGTTTGAGATTACGACAAATGTAACATATCCGTCGTCAACTGTGAAACAAATATTCATAACGATAAACCGATTCGTGATGGCGTTCGAAAACTTTTCAAAGGAATGATTTTAATTTCTTTTAAGAGTTCATTTTAATATGTCAAAAACAATTCTTTTGACTAATGTTTGACTACAAGTTTTGAACACTTGTTGAATAATAATTCTTCTTTTGCTTTATATGTATTCATAATAACTAAGCAATACAATTATGCAAGCGGAAATACACTGACGAAATATCAATTTGTTAGATTTAAAATCTAAAGCAGTGAAAAAACACCTACATTCGTTTTTAATTTCTATCTAATTTTTTAAAATGTTGTTCAATTCCAAACTTTGTTAATTTATGCATCGAATCAAGAAACCATATTTTTGTTTTTCTCTTCCTCAATGCAATAAACTGTTTTCTCTATATTTGTTTATTTCTTGTAATTAAAACTTTTTTCGTAATCTAAACTCTGATACTACCTAAACAATGTTAACATACTGAGTATATTTCATTTTAGAAACATATATATTTTACCACTGCATCAAGTGTGTTACGATATTTCTCCACTCGAGGCAGTTTGATTTTAAAATTTAAAACGCGAGGATTGCCGACCTTTTGTCGAAGTTTATGCTTCCTTTTAAATAATTTCAGAAAATTGTGTTTTCTGTACATGTGACGTCATCAGGCATGGTCGCCTTTTTGCATGACGTCACGAAAGCAACTTCAGAAGACAATTTGACGTCGTAATTGAATTTCGACCAATCATTTGCCGAGAACAAAGTTTTCACTAGAGATGAGAAATATTATCTCACACCGACCGAAAAAATTGAAAATAAATTGAAAATTAGAGAAAAAAGTGTTTCGAATACTTTAAAGTATAGTTTTTGTATACGCTGTTTGATTTTAAAACAATGTGAAAGAATCGAAAAAGTTTTTAAAATGGTATGTGGCAAACAAAATTATTAATTATTCGTATAAATCTGATGATATTATCAAGATCTCAGATGTCAAACATAGTAAGAAATGATATATCAAATTTAATTTATCACACAGTTTTAGACAAATGGACATTTTGTTTTAAATATGGACTATTTAACTTTCTATAGGTATTGTTTACATCAAATTGATGATAATCTGAACCAAAACTGAACAAAATATCTTTTTACTTATATTTTTCCTTTTGTCATCACCCATTTTCAATTGAAGACGTATACAGAACATGATGTATGACTAAGTTGTAATTTGCTTTACACTAGAGTTCCGTTATTGCTTCTTTTGTCCTTATATTAGTTTGTTTGTATGCTTCGTGTCAATCTAATGCGTCAACCCTCAACAGATATATCAAACCTGGGATTTAGTACACCTGATGCACTTTCCATTTACAAAAGACTTATCAGTGACGCTCGAATAAAAATTGTCGTTTAGACAAATGACCTTTGCAGTAAGGATGCATTGCAACCAAACAATTCCGACAAATTGTTTCAAATACGGCTAATTATTTCTCTATATGGGGGTGCAAACCTTAATGTTTTGAATAATTTCAACATTTACGAAATAGTTAACTTACAAAATAGTAATATATCAATGATAATTCATGTTAGCAAAAAAGTGCTGACTACCGGGTTTGTGATACTCTAAGGAACGAAACATACATCAAAAGCGGCATCGTCCCAGTAGTTGTAAACACTTGTCAAAGATACCAAGCTATTAGTTTAGTACGATAGACTAAGCAGGGTCGCTCGATTTTAGACAGCTGAAAGATTACATCAATTAAAATAGCATTGAAACAAATAATTTAAAAAAGTGTTTTAAATCTGGCTTAGGCTGTTCATGCCTCAAACATTTCTAAAGTGTGGATGTACAATTAATACACTATTTTGCTTATTTGTTCATACCTTTGGATTTACAATTACATTCTATCGATAATTCAACATAAAAATTAACCTCATCTCAAATCTGGATACTATTCACAATGAATAGCTTTCTGTTGACATTAAATTATTTCATTCCTTTTCCACAGTTACGAATGAAGATTTTCTAAGTGAAGATTTGTCAGCACTTCACCTTCGTCGACTTTCAATCCTTTACAATGTAGATGAGATTCGCCAATTGGTAACACATCTTGAACTACCATACACCAAATGGAAAGACCTCTTCATCGTAGAACCTGAACCACAGCTACTGAAATTCAAAGCATTATGTCTTTGTCACGGGCAATCAACACTGACCTTCAGAAAAATTAAAAAAGCTGTAGAGGAAGGAAAGATACAAAATCCACACACTTTGTGCAAGGTAAATGTTTTTTATACAACAAAATTTGATAGTTTACTTGTTTAAGATGTTGTTGAACTGCTTAAATGTATTTCTAAACCAAATGGCCTTTCTTATCTAAAGTAGTTTGAAATAACACTTCTACGTAGTGAATTACAAAAGAATATTATCGTCACATGAAGTGTCATTTCTTTTTATTTGAAGTTTGCTGTTATAAAACAAAACATTTAAGGTCGTGTTTATTCATGTTGCAATAGTTGGATTAAATTATGGATCCAAGGAAAAAGTGGTGTGTTATAAAATATCTCTGCTTTTGTCATCCATTGGTTGAAGTATCATATAGGTTTTATTTCTCATCTTAGTTGTCAACATCGTATTGAAAAACGTGTTTCTGTGTAAAGGACATAGTGTACAACAAAGTGATGAGCACATAAAGCATTACACTAGATACAAACATACCCAATTTTTTTTTTCCAGCAGTATTTGACCTCATTTTACATGGTAACATTTTTTTAACCTTAATGAAGCTGAAAATAATGAATATTCGACGTAACTAGCTGAATGTGTCTTGTCAGTTCGTTGGCGAACAAACACTTCTTTGAGAACACAGTCGGAACAATATTGCAAGAAGTAGACTATCTGTATTGACCAGTAGTCGCAACAAAAGATAGATATATTCACGTTTAACTTTATGAATTTAGAAAATTCCCGATATTATTGTGGACATGTCATTGGGTCGATCTAAATACAAGGAAGCAGACTTGTTTGTGTCATTATTCAGTGTTGTAAAAAAATGACGAAATGACATCAAATTGCTAAATAGTTGTCTTACATTGTTCTATAGAACGACGTGTTAAGAAAAAGGGTTCTCATGAATTGTGGTGGTTTTAATTGCATTGTAAAATATTAATCATAGTTACATCTGCGTTGTACAGGTAATGAGAGGCGCATTTGTGGACTTTGGTAAGCATATTTTTTCAATGACATCGTCTGTGTTTATTGTATAGAATAGATAATGTGTAGGTATAAACTAAAAGAACATAAACTATACATAGTATTAATAATTTGTTTCTTTTCACACTAGAAAATCATACGAAAAATTATTATATATATAGGTATATTGCATATAATCCATCGCATTATTTAACTTTCATTTCTTGGTGGTATTTGGGTCATTTCATGTACAGAAGCTAGCAATTAGATTGTTTTAATAAAATAACAAATTCCTATTAATTCAATATAAGATGTACTTTTGGAAACTATGCAAAACAGAAGTTTGGTTATCTAAGTTTACTATGCATCCTCTACAAAGCATTGCTTTGACTGTGTGCAAAGGGTTCACAGTTTTCATTAGTGTCATGTGCATATGTGTGGGATTATGGATTTCTTTTGGGATCTTAAAGTGATATGATTCCAATTTAACCCCTCCTACTTCGATGACAGTTTTTTGTTCCGTATGCAGTGACCTTAACGACAACACCACTATAATGAAATGTTAATGCACATAATATGTAAACAACTTTTTAACCAAAGCTTAGTTTACAAATGGGAACGCACGAAAAATATGAAAAACACATTAACATTGCTCTATCATCTGACTATTTTTCGTGTGCTCCATGAGCTTGTGCATATTGTATCAAGGTTACAACAGCTTTTATGTGTATATGTGTGGGATCATGGATTTCTTTTGGGGTCTCTGAGTCATATGATCCTTCCAGTTTAAAAAAGTTGATTGTCCCTTTGGTATCCTTCGCCTCTCTTTCTGTGTGTAATGATTTGAACCATTACACCTCTTGGCAATTGCACAGGGCAAGTTTGAAGGAGGAAAACGTGATGGAAGAGAAAATAAACAAACGTAGAAGGAAAATAGCTATTACTGATTCTGTAAAAAAAGAAATACATCAAATTATATAAAAACTGTTATGACGAAATTAAAATGACCAATTGGGAGCGCATGGAAAATATACCCCCCCCCCCCCCCCCCCCCCCCCACAAAAAAAAGCAACACATAAACATGGCTATATGAAATCACTTATTTTATACGGGCTCAAGATTCTAGGTTGAAAGTGTATTTAGGTCACGATCTGTAAATTTTGGTTTCAAACTCCAACAGTTAATTTGCAGCCAAAGTTTCGATCATTAATTCCTGAATGACATGTGTGTAGTCCATACATGATGGATTCGCAAAACATGCAAAGAAGCAGGAAAAAATCTAAAAAAAAATTGTAAATTATATGTGTCCAAAGCACTTTTCTGGATTCACCTTTATCAGGAACGTTCAAAACCAAATATTGGAAAGTCAATGATTAATAAGGATCGAAACAGTAAAGATAATAAGGACACTATTGTTACTTCATGCTATTTTAGATACTGATCCAGAGAAATGGGATCTGGTTCCTTCGGATGTAGACATTGATAGAATGGCACCTTTGATTGGAAACAAATCCTTATTTTTTCTGGTTGAACTTGGTATGGACCTCGAGACATGGGATATCATCAATCACTGGCAAACGAAACGAGATTTGGTGAAACTAAACAAGGATATTCTTGATGAATGGAGGCTTATTTGTAAAGCAAAGAATGTTAGACCCACTATGCGGAAGATTGCTCAAGCGTACAAAAGTATTGGAAAAGACATTCAAGTTCTTGAAAATACTCTGTTCAACTGACCAGAGACACTCTTTTTGCTCTCTGGTGTACCTGATGTTGTTTAATGCATATATGTTTAACAGTAATATTGAGTTCACAAAGACGTTAATTGTTTTTTGAAAGATCTGTAAGAAATCTGAAATTAAGAAAGATAATAAAATTGATTAATAAAAGGAGTAAAATGCCAAACAGTTTGAAAAAGATTGGCTATGAAGATCTAGCCCACATTGACTAGTAATGTCAACAACATTGCTGCAAATTGATAGAAGAAAACTTAATAAGTTCCTTTGACTTGTTTTATTGTTTTACTCAACTGATATTTTGCATATCATACAAATGAAATACTATACTTTTTAAATAAACAAAACTTTTCCCCGAAATGAACCTTATCTTATACGCTAAAACCCAAAAGTTTGAAAAGTAAAAAAATCGTTAAATGTTTAATCCAAAAGACCTCAATATATAGTCAAAATAAATAGGTAACATGTAAACATTAAAAACATGCAATACTATTCAATGTGTGTAAGATCTTAATAGCCACTTCTTTTGCATTGAACTCCATTTATTAATTCATTTATTATGGTCCGATTTGGTATGATTATATCCTTTATAAAATCCTTGGGACATCACACAAAACTGAGTAAAATCAAAATTTCTAAGTATTGGAAACACGATGCAGTTTTTTGTTTTGTGTTTGATTATTTTTCATTTACTACATCATACATGTAATATGTCTTTTTTTTTATTACCTATATTGATCTTGTATATACGTATGTTTTTATTGCAAAGTTTTTATTTCAGATATATAGTTATATTTTATTGATATAATTTTTTTCATGGTCGGACATCCCCTCGTAAGTTCTACGTATTCGAAATTCAAGAGCAATTTTCTGAAAAGGATTCAAGATAAAATGAACTAGACGATGATATCAACTCACCTCGCTTTCGCTCGAGATAAAATAATAGAATATAAATACTTAACCCATGGTTAAAGAAAACAAATCTACGGCTGCCATGAATTATTTCTTTATTGATCTATGATAACAGAGTTATAAGTATATGCTGTATTTCAATTTTGAATTGTTATTTTATAGATACGAGAACCAGTCTTTTGAAGAAGCCTTTGAAATTTACCAAAAATAACAATGTCCTTTTTTATTCTTATGAAATGAGATAAAAATAAAGAATTTTGCAAATGACCTATTGTCATCTAATCCTCTTTATGAATGGCAAACATGCACTTGAAATAACAAATGGCTGTGAGTTGCTTATAATGTTTTGCTTATCATCTGGTATCATCTCAATGATTAAATGGAATCCGTATTTTGATTGCGTTAGGTAATTGCGTCAGCTATCATCAGAATAAGAATCAAGGTGTATTGATAATTTGTGCACATTAAACACAGTAGAAACGTTGCACTTTTGCAAGTAGCAACATACTAATTGTCAGGTTTTAAACCCATTTGTTAAATATGTAGGTAGTTTATGGACAAAGGTGTCGTGGTTAAGCTTAGAAAAATATATCTTCAGATTGAAATATATGTGTACACATGATTTATGATTAGAAGGGAGGCGAAAGATACCAAAGGGACATACAAACTCATAAGTCGAATATAAACTGACAACACCATGGCGAAAAAGGAAAAAGACAAACAGACACACAACATTACAAAAAACACAACATAAGACTGAAGGGTAAGCAGATCCTGCTCCACGTGTGGTACCCGTCGTGTTGCTCATGTTAGTACAAATCCCGTGATTTGTCTAATTCGCTAGGTCACACTAGTGGAAAAGGAGACAAGATTGTAGTTTCGAAAATTGGAACATATACGTTGTCATCTGTGAAACAGATATTCCATAAAGGTCAACCAACTCGTGATGGCGTCCGTAAAATTTACGACGGGACGATTTCAACTTCAATTAAAACTATTAGTTTAAAAGCTTCCTTGTGAACAGCAACCCTCTATCAAGGAAATCATGGTAAAGGAAATGCAAGCCCTTGAATATGGTATCAATTGAGAGATATATACTCCGTATGCAGGCGCTGCTGGAATGTTGTAACATAGAAATTGAAAGTTCACAATTTGTAAGCTAAAATCATCTCTTTTGTCGTAAAGTTTTGTTTTCAACAGATCCTCATTGTCAATTTCTAGATGTAGGTCAAGATTTGAGGCAGACTTAACTGTATCTGTTTTATACTTTATACTTTATCTCAAGCTCGATGGGATAGATGCGTTATGTTTCAAGAAAAAGATTTTTGATATGATATAATACTTCGATAGATGTGTATTCTACTTCATGCTATAAATAATTTTCATCATTTTGCTGATTTTGTGTTGTACATTTTATAATACGTGTTCTTGTTTGTGTTTTATTGACATTTCGTATGTTTTTATGTGTATATACCATTACATTTTTGACCAATATTAAAAGGATATGGGTGAAACACAAAAACTAGTTTCGATGAAATGTAGCCCGCCTCATGAAACTTCACTAATACCAAATAAGCAATATTAGCATTGAAGCTGAAATTATTTCTTGAGGTCAATGTCTTTTTAAGAGAATAATGTTGATAGCCGGTCACTAAATGGACTTTGTTTGAATAACAATATGCTTAGACAATGCATTGCTTGTATAATGATTAATACATTCACTTTTTGATAACCTTTAGTTTTTTAGGGTTTTTTTTCATCTCGTATTTTCGTCGGGGTTGCTGTCATATTGACCATCTCTTTTTTCAATGGTGAGGCTTCAAAAATGAATTCAATTTATCCTTAAGAACCGTGGATACATTCTTATTCGATGGTTACTTTTTTGATGGATTATCTTGGTAGATGTTCGTCAATACTTTCAGGACTCAATCCAAGAATGCAAGTTTCCTTTTTTTAAATTAAAAAGGGTAAGTTTTCATGAAAATACATTTTGTTTTCACTGGACGAAGAAAGGTACCCACGAGAGTAAATGAAACTATATGATTTTCCTATAATTTGATAAATTTGACTCAAATAGTTTTTTTTTTCTGCCCTAATTATTTGTTTACCTCGAAGCTTTATAACTTATACAATCACATAATATACTGGTAATCAATTGTGTGTTTAGGATAATAAATAATTGTAGTCACACGGAAAAAGAAATTAAAAGGATTGTCAAGTACTGCAAAATCTAACAAACTGGAATGATTATCTCGTTGTATAACCTCAGTGTGAATTGAAGTTTTATAAAATACACTGTGATTTAGAAAACACATATATTCAACGCAGACTTTTGTATCAACACACACGTGGCTGATGGTAGCAAGATATCATTTTCTTTGTTATTTTTGTTTTCGGAAACGTTTTTAATTATTAAAACACTCGGATAACGATTGAATCAACCTAACTTTAAACACCTAGTTTCCATAACCTTTTTCAACACAAACAGTTATCTTTATGTGTCATTTTACCTTTTATTTTCTAGCGTGTTTGTTGTTTAGATTTATTATTAAATAACATGTTGTTGATTGATGAAGCTCTATGCCATTGTATTTTTTTGTTTTTTTTTTTGCTTAAACAAATGTATCATAACTGCTTTCAAAATAAAATAATCAAAATAATTAGGTGTATTAATTTCCTTCCTTTTAATAATTGTGTTATTTTCGACAAATATTACAAATACATTTCTATCAATACAGACGTACACCATTCCATGGTACAAGGAACAGATTTAAATGTACAGTATACAAATAAGGAGATGTGGTACGATTGCCAATGAAACAACTATCCATCAACGTCAAAATAACGGAGATATTAGCTGTTAGTCACCGTACAGCATTGAACAAACCAATACTGTATAGTCAACTACTATGCAGACAAAGGGTCATACGAGCGATCAAGGGATACGGCAACAAATCAGAAGATACAGTCAACGTACAGCGATAGTGAAAAGAAGGCTCCTATATACGATCAGTACATGCAATTGACGTTCCCTAGTACACATGAGACACAATGTGTTAATCAAATTGAAAAGTTATAGTGAACAGTAATGTTTTAACTTTTATTGAAGCGACACTGATGAGTCTTTTAAAGACGAAACGACAGTCTGGTGTGCAAAATTGTAAGCCTAGTATCTTAGATCAGTCTCAAGTACCTGTTTACACGATATAAAATCTAAGACTGGTATCTTTACTTGCTTCTACAAATCTTGCTTCCTTTAGAGTTTAAATGTCAGAATTTTTGTTCTCATAGTTTATGTACGAGCAGAAACAAAAAACAACCAGGAGAAAGAAGGAACATTTGTGGAGATCCTAACACAGGTTATAGAAAGTACAGGTGTTCTATAAACACATTGAATTGCATATACAGAGTGTGAATACCTTCCGATTCATCATGTTGTATTTGCAAACAACGAAACTATTATTTGATTGTTGCTATTTCATCATGTGTCCAAAATAGTTTAAGAACTAGCTGATATTGAAAATAATATCAGTATTCAAGATGGGTCCGGAAGCTTCCCTAGGCATCGTGATGGTGGACCATTAAAGGAAATGTTATGGCATAACTATCCAAGCTCAAGTATGAATATCATTTATTGTCGCTCGTGTAAGATTTGAAACAATCAGTAAGGATGCATGATCGGTAACCTGTTTACATCCAGTGACATCTTTTACTTCAATAGTCAAAACTATCTTCCGGTAAACTGCGAAATATTTCCGAATATACTCCGGTTATTCCATGTTCTACCTATGTAATTTCCTGCAATGTTCCAATTTAGTGACATGAACTTATCATAACTGTTCATTAAGTTAGCAAACCAGTAAAGTTTTATTGTTTAAAAGATTTTCTCTATTCTTCATGCTATTTTCACATTTCTCGGTCAGTGTGAGAAAAATATTTCTCATCTCGATAGAAAACTTTGTTCTCGGCAGATAA